GCAACTATAGCCCAGAGTGATGTCTAAGACAAGGCACCATGGCAGCCAGGGGAGAAGGCAATGCATATCCGGGAAGCAGGGCTTCCTGGAGGAAGCTGGGTTTTGAAGGCTGAATAAGAGGTCACCAGGACAAGGTGGAGTAGTGAAAAGTTTATGGCAAGGCACAAAGGTAAGAAACAATGCATTTTCTTTTCTGCAGGTAATAAGTTATTTCCATTATTGGAACAGGGAAAGAGGGAGGTAACTGGTAGGGAAAAAGCCTGGACGTGTGATAAGGGGCTAAAAAGATGCTTAGGACAAGGAAAGAGTAGATATAGTTCACAGTAGCATTAGGTTAAAATTAGGTTAGGGATTTGAATGCAGGTTAAAGAGAGAATTTGAACACAGGTTATCAATTTAGTCAATAGCAAAATCATAAAAATTCATGTGGTTTGCATGTACTATCTCATTTTAAGCTCAGAACAAGCCTTCAAGGTCAGTGGCTGTTCTTATCTTCATCTTACACAAGAACAGACTGAGGGACAGAAAGGTCAGGGGACTTGCCTGAAGTCACATACTTGGTAAAATGGCAAGAGAGTGCAGGACACAGATGAATGGTCAAATATAACATTTAGAGTCAGACTAGCTTCAAATACCTGCTCTATTCCAGCTTTGAGGTCTCCAGGAAGCCTTCTCTCTTCACAGAGCTTCAATTTTCCATCAGCAGTTGGCAAGGACTGTGTCTAATTTAGAGGGCTATTATTATGTTAAGATAACATATAAAGCACCATAACCAGTACCAGGTTGACTACCAAATGTCAGAAATATTATTGGGATGATGACTGGTTTGGAGCTCAGTTAAATTAATAATTCAAGTTCCGGGTGTATTTCCCTTCCACTAGTGCTCTTCCTGGGATGTGGGTTCCGCCATGAGCTTGATTTTGCAGAAGTGCTCATGCCAATGCTCAGTTCCCCCAAGCAGAGCCTGAATGAAAGTAAGAACAGCCAACCTAAACTACGTCACTAGCCCACAGTTCAGTTCTTCTCCAAAAAATACACTGGACACTCTGAAAAGCTCAGAGTATATCTGGGATATAAGTGGCAGATACAGAAAGGCAAAGAAAAAATAAAATAAAAAACAGCCCAGTTTAAAAATGGCCAAAGAGTTTGAACAGACATTTCTCCCAGGAAAATAATGTAACACACCAACAAGGGCAGGAAAGGCTGCTCACCATCACTCATCATTAGGGAAATGCAATCAAACCCACAGTGAGGTACCACTTCACACCCAGTGAAATGGCCGGTGTCAAAACAAAGGAAGAAGAAGAAAATGAACAAAACAGAACAAACAAATGGTGAGGATGTAGACAACAGGAGCCCTCACGCATTGCTGATGGGAATATAAAATGGTGCAGCCACTTTTGAAGACAGTATAGCAGTTCCTCAAAAGAAAAAAATCAAACCTTGAAATTACCTTATGATCTGGCAGTTCCACTTCTGAGTACATACCCAAAGAGTTAAAAGCAAGAATTTGAGCAGACATATTTGTATCCCAGTGTTCAAAACAGCAGTATTCATAATAGCTGAAAGATTGAAACAGTGCAAGTGACCACTGGCAGATTAATGAACAAATAAACAATTAATGAACAAACAATAATGTGTAATAAACACCCCCATGAAATATTACTCAGCCATAAAAAGGAAGGAAATTATGACAAATGCTAAAACGTGGATGAACCTCAGGATATTATGGTAAGTGAAATAAGCCAGACACATGAGGACAAAAACTGTATTATTGCGCTCATTTGAGTCACCTAGAATAATCAGATCCAGAGAGGAAAGAAGTGTCAGGGGCTGGCAGGAGCTAGCATCTAATGAGTAGTTCTAGTTTAAGAAGATGAAAAAGTTCTGGAGATGGATGGTAGTGAGCTTTGGTGTGAATGCACTTAAAGCCACTTAGCTGTACAATTTAACATGGTTGACAAGTTAAAATCTGTGTGACAATGTTTTCTAAAATAATAGTTCTTTAAAAAAGATGAAGAGGGCCCGGGGATTTAGCTCAGTGGTTCTGCCACCTGCCTTGCAAGCTCAAAGACCCAAGTTTGATCCCCAGTACCAAAAAAAAGATGATGAGCAGGGTAAGGTGGCACAGAGCATCTGCTGCAAGCAGGTGGGAAGACAACAATGTCTCCCAAAGCTAGCCTGTCCGGAAGAGGCAGACACACCAGAGAGGTCTAAGGACTAGGCTCACAAGCCACACAGGGTGTGCCTGGGCACAATCTTTTTTCCTCTCTGAGAAACCAGGAAACTGATTCACAGATTTCCTCCCACTTCTACATTCTGCTTCTGCCTTATAGAGAGACTTGGGTCAGGCAGAGGAAAAGGTGAAAGGGACACAGTAGCCAGACCTTCACCATCCTGGGAGCTTTTCCAATGAGGCCTGGGGACCCTTTGGCTTGAGAATCAAGTTTGAGAAGAATGTGCCTTAGGGGAATTACTACATCAGGGAGAGTTCTGGTTCCAAACAGATGCCAGCCTTAAATTGGGTCAGAAAGGACAGTTTAGCCAAAAGTCCACTTACAAAGATGTGGGCAGAGCTAAGGGAAACAAAAGGGTAGTACAGTCCCCAGGGCTTGCAGCAGCAAGGCTGTCACTATGCTTAATGCAAAAGAGGTTATAAGAACCTCACAGAGACCACATAGGAAAGGTGGCCTTTGCTGAGGACAATCCTGCTGTCTTTCCTCTTGCAAGCCCCTCCCATCGGTCAAGCCCAAGGAGAAGCTGGAGGACAAGGGATCCTGCTAGCCTCCAGCATCAGAGCAGGATGGTACATGCTAGCAGAGAAGTCGCAGCAGCAAATGAAGGGTGAATTCAAAAAATGAGTTAATCCTGGATCATCCACATGGCCAGGCCAGGGGTACTGAGAAGTGTCCTCCCCTAGCTAAGTCCCAGCCTCTCTCCACAGCTGATTCCAGACTCAAGGTGGGTAGGAGCTCTGGGCTCTTTTGGACTGGAGCAGTGTGTTTGGCTTGTTGGAAGAGCCCCTGCTTCCTTGCTGTGAGCAGAACCACCAGGGTCTGAGCCTCCCCTCCATGCAGGCCTTTATTCATTCATTCTACTAGCATCTCCTGGTGGATACTCTGCCCAGCCTGTGCTAAGAGGAGTACCTGCAGAAAGGGGGAAGCACTCCAGCCACCTGTTCAACTTGCCCAGTACCCCTAGAGCCAGGGAGACAAAGGTTCCATCCGTCAAGTCTCTGGCTCTGGACACAGCTATCCTTTGTAAAATTGGATCAATCACCTTTTCCCCTCCCAGAGCTGTCCTGAAGATTGAAAGCACAACTTTCTGAAAAGCAGGGGCACAGAGCCTGGTGTTGAGCCAGTCCTCTACAGTGGGGAATCAGGGGCCTTGTTAAAAAGCATCCGCTGCCCTCACTCAGGCTCAGCACCCTCCCACCATAATGCGCTGTCCTCGCCTGGTTTACTGTTCTGAGCATTTGTTGCTGTTTTTCCCTCCCTCGCTCCCCATCTCTCAGACTGCAAACCCAGAAGACCTGGTCGCTGGTCTCCAAGTTTTCCCTGGCCCCACGGCTTGGGGCGGGCTCACGATTAGCAACATATTCTCGGTAGCTAGATACCGCCAACAGCAGTGACAGCTCCCGTGGTAGGCAGTGACACTGGGCCCATTTTACATACAAAGAAACCAATCCCAGAGAGGTTAAGCAACTAGCCCAAGGTCACAAAATCATATACTGGAGGCCAGGAATTGGAACCCGAGAGTCTGGCTCTCCAATCTGGCACGAGACTGGGGCTCTCAGGCCTGCGAGCGCGGGAGCGAATCCCCTCGTCAGTCAATAAACAGACAGCGGAGGGGAGCCCATCCTTTCCCCCGGCGCGACGCCTCCACTTAGGGACAAAGGCCCGGCGGGGGCCGGACGTGACCGGCGGGGCGGCG